GAATAGTGTATGTCTCATCAGCTAGATCAATACTGCAAATTCATGCCTTCTTGCAATGAGTTTCAATGAATATTTATGTTTGCATTGTCGGCAAACATTTCTGGAAATTCTGGCGACAATGGTTACTTTTTGATGGCTGTCACTATCTGACGTTCCTGCAATTTGATTGGTAACAACAAAAAAACATCAGGGGAAGTGAAAAACTACATCGTTCTGTCAGGCGTGTGTTGGGTTTGGAGCACCGCAGAGGGTGCAATTCACACGATCTTGTCAGGCTATGTTAAGTGTTGGTTATTTTTGAAGTCTTCAGAATTTATTTCTTTATTGATAGATAGAGTTCTATTCTATTCTGATTTGTATAAAAATGGCAAAATGCCAAGACATCTATGGTAATCAATGTATCACAAGTGTGTTAAACTTGGCACATATGGAATTAAAAAAAATCTCACCATATTTTGATTTTCAGAGGTGCATACGGAGTTGTAAAGCACGCTGTATCACGTAAAGACGGGAGAGACTGTGCTGCTAAGTTTATCCGTTCAAAACCAACAATGAGAAGAGAGTTCAGACAAGAGATGGACATTATGTCATCATTAGATCATCCAAGATTAATTAAATTAATGGATGGTTACGAAACAAAAACTGAACTTATTATGATCATGGAAATGTATCCTTTTTAGTATTTTGTAATATTTGTTGATATTTGTGTGTATTTGCCCTCTCCACATGTATGTTTAGAATGTTTTGGAAGTGGTGACGTTACCAAAATTAATTGAGCATTAAGTTAAACTACATGTTAAAGTTAAAGTGTCAATGTGTCAGAACTTCCTGGGTTTATAAAGTTAAGAATGTATCTATCATGTACTAACTATTAATTATGATTAATATAATAATTTTAATAAATTGTATTATTAATATAAATATAATCACATAGACAGTAAGGAAAATAACATAAATAAGTTGGTGGTATTAGCATTAATAATAAATAAACTTTGTTAACCACTCAAATTCTGGTTTATTTGTTTAGCTCTTAAACTGACTGCTATCCAAATCTTGTTGTAGTTGGTTTACTACCATATTAACCTACTTAGGTTAGAAATAAAAATAAAATGTTATCTAATCAATATCTTTATCCACGAAAATGATTACAAATCAAATAATGCCTGACAAAAATATGAGACCCAGTTTCTAGTCAAATCGATGTCGGCTTTTATTTTTATTTTCTAAAATTCTGGGGATAATCTTAAAAGATGTGACATGCATGATTTTAACTTAGAGAACTATATTTTCTTTTTTTCAAGTGCATCTAACCAAAATCACGTTTGTTGTATACTGAATCTTAAAATATTTTGACCAAAGAACACCTTTGTAAATTTATATAAGTGCAAACGCTACTGATATAGCAAAGATGTAACATTTTATTATGTGAGCTAACCATCATCTGTACCATTACAGTCAGTGTAATAAACTAATGTGTGTATTGCTATTCTTGCCATGTAAAAGGATCGGTTGTTATTAGATAGTATTCGTTACTGAATGACTTTTGTAACCTTATGATACTATGTTACTGAGAATGACATGTTACTAGGATACATGGACGTTATTATACCTGACTTCACAGCAAATATTATTTACAATCACAAAAAAGCACCATTCGGTTAGAAGAAATGATAACAAAGGACATAAACACCATTACAATTAGTTTTGTTGCTTGCTTTCTATTCCTATCTGGCTTTGTTCAACTTCATTCGATTGTGATGCGGTATTTCATCCCTCAAATAGTATTTGTATTCACGCTTGAGTGCTTCCGCTGATGCCAGTATTCTTCCTTGACCCATGACCTATGCAGGGTTACCGGAGGGGAGTTGTTTGAAAAGCTTATACAAGAAGACTGTTTGACTGAGAGTGAAGCGGTGTATTTCTTACGCCAGGTACTCGAAGGGCTGGAACACATGCATAAAAGGAACGTGGTACACCTGGATCTAAAGGTAAGAATCCATGATGTATATACCTTGATAGTTGTGTTGTTTATCTTTGTTTCACCACGTAGTGTTAGTGTATAATCCTGTAATGGGATTAGAGAAAATTACCCTCTGAGAACACTATACGTCATTGATAAAAAACATAGATTTGCTCTGAGCATCAATGGCATACCTACTGGTGTATTGATCTGATATTTGCATGTGAAACTTTGTCAACCCCAATAGTGTATACTGTTTGAGATCCGCCTGAATCTAAGCTCAATACTGACTGTCAATATCATTGTACGGTAAATGAGAGCAATATTATGTCCATATTGGTAGCCAAAATAACTGCTGGTTTTTTAACCCAAATATTTAAGGGCATTCTCAAAGAAAAGAATAAATCATTATAATATTTATTAAATAAACAACAAAAGTCACTCAGAACTTCAGTGAAAATTTCAATGCTTCAAAAAAATTTTCTGATTTGATTTTTCTGTTCAACAATTATTGTACAATAACCAAAACAATCTAAATCACTAAATTTTGCCAATCTATCTCTCGCATGCTAAGTGACAAAATAATTGATAATAATTATAATAATAATGAAGAGCATTTATATTGTGCTTAACCTAAATTAGCTCTAAGCGCATGATGCAAGTAGAATAAGTGCAACAATGGAAAAATAACTATACAGTACTGTGTTTTCAGTATAAACTAATAATGTTTGTGATATGAGAGTAATCTTTTAAGACTCAAACTTAACTATGAATACATAATATAAAAGAAGTCATTGTTCTTACAATCTAAATATTCATCGCATGTATAAGGGCATAGTCAGATCAACTTGTTAAATTTCCACCTAATATTACTTTTACAGTTAGCCTTTTCACCACCAAACATTCTCACCCACATTTTTCTGCTTTTTTTCTTCAATATTTCTATAAATGAACCCATTTTTTAGAGCCGACAAACAAAATTCAAGTCAATTTTCAGCTTTTGCTCAAAAAATCTGGCTATTTTTTCTGAAGGAAAGTGCAGACTATAAACAGGACTATTTTATGATTTTTGTGATGATGATGATGATGATGATGAATGGTGCAAAGGTTCATTTTTCGATGATTTATAATTACATTATTTAAGCCTGCTCATAGGAAATGCCACACTCTAAGGTATTAGATTGAGAGAATACTGTTAGACTATTTTTGTCTGAAGCTGACATGTTTATGTTTTGATGGGATGTGGCGAGGTCAAAGGACATTCAGCTATGTTAGCAATCACTTGTCTATTCAGGAAGGCTCTATATCAAATATTTTAAGTGTGTATTTTAGACAACCTTGCAGGGGTCAACCAAACAATTCTAACCCCAGTGGAATTCTTGAGTCTGAGTAGGAACTATTTGAAATTAAATCCAAAGTAGTTGTGCCAATAACATCATTCGTTAGAAGTTGTATGAGCAGGTGATATCTTCAGGTATTCACACTTTTATGTCCTTAGATTTTTCAAATTTTTTTAGAAGCACACCTTTGATATACATGAGTAAATTGCCTCCAGGTGTTTCTTTATGTTTCACCGATAAAATATCGCTGTTGAGCTTTTACAGATTTCTCTGCTCTGTCCAAAACTATCTCTTTCTCTGCTATGGAATTTGCACAGGACATAATATTAGGTTTTATCAGTTTTTTTTTTTTATTATTGGAAAAAGTCACAGGCAACAAATTTCCATAATCTTTTGCTTTGCTTTGAAATAAACAATTTACTTCAGTCACTGTTTACAATACAAATGCCTTGACTAAATTGAAATTAGAAATTATTATTATGGAAATCAAAGAAAATAATATACAATATTTGTATATTGTGCAGTTTCAATAATCATGAAATATGAATATATATATAGTAGTATGAGTTTTGATGCCATGTTTTGTGTACTGAGCTTTTCAGATTCTGCTTATTTCACTTGCCTTGAACTAGCCATAATCAAAACCTAAAAGAGCTAATTATAAATCTCCAAATACATACCATTTCAAAATAATTATAGTGCAGTGGTCTTCCTAATCACTTATGTTATTGTTATTCTAGCTCCCATACCATTTTTTAAAAAGCAAGGCTTGTGCATTTCCCATGCAACACACAAAGTAAAGAAACCCTTCCAAAGACATATTCGTATTGCATGCATGCCACTGAGAATTTTACAACAAATTTTCACAACTTTTATAAATACATTCGTAGATGTCTTGAATGTAAAATAATGGGTGTCTATATATATATATTGCTAAAGGGACTGTGTCTTGTGTACTGTGAAATATTTGTAACTTAACTCGAATTAATTTTCACAAAAATGTTTTGTATAAAGTTGAATGTAAAATATAGGAAAAGGGTAATTTTTGTGGCTATTATTTCTACTGATTCATCTCTACAGCGAAAATATAGTGCATTACAGTAAATGGTGAAATTGGACGTTTGCTGCATAGTAATTGGATTTGCTTGAACTGTCAGGTGGCTGCATGTTAGTTTATTGTGTTGATGTACACTTGACCTCGTCCATTCTCTCCTGTCCTGTGTGTGTGTGTGCTCTGTCTACCGTATTTATCAAACTCTGTGTGTTCAGGCTATAGTTACATTAATTATGTAGCTGTGACATCTCCAACTACCGTATTCATCCCACTTACCGTGACCCCAAAACATAGAAATGTCTCAAAAGTGGGGGCTGGGCACATAGTTGAGCATGGGCGGACGAGTATGGGATAATACTACAAACTGATTCCAATAGCAAAGATTATGATCAGGTCAATTTAATGGAAAATAGAACTGACATGACCATAAAACATTGCTCAGTGCATGAAACAGATTAAACAGCATTAAACATGATTTATTGTGAATCACAAGAAGGCTTAGTTTCAGAACAGTAGGAGCTCTTGCAAAACAATTTTAGCTCCACAACCATTATATATACTGTGAAATACTTTATTTTAGCTGTAATTGATTTTTGCTGAAAAGACTTTTTGGGTTTTTTATATGGAATTTATTTTCACTGATTTTTGTCGAGTTGAATGTAAAATATAGGAAAAAGGTGTATTCGCTGGATTTTATTTTCACTGAATCATTCCTTCAACGAAAATAGCAAAAATTAATTCCAAGCGAAAATAAAGTATTTTACAGTACACATCTATCAGTTTACTAGTTTGTAATTACTTTATTGGAATCAAACAGTATCATGATTAATTCATTAGATTATGTAATGCTTTTGTTGTCAATGGTATTGTTATCTATTGTCATCTTATGAATGTGTCAATGTAACTGTGTGAATCATAGGGAGTCTTAATCCGTGTCACTCATTCATCCAATCGGCTTAACCTTGTCATTGTCATATTTTTGTTGCACAAACACAATGTAGAGATGTCTGCTTTTTTTCAAAGCAAACTTTGGATTAATTTATATGAACTTAATTTTTCACTTTTCACAAAATAAATATTTGTTACTCAAAACTTTAAAAAAAATCAGAAAAAATATTTTTAAAAAAATGTTTTTTTTTAATACTTGGACCCCAATCTGTACTGTACTGAAAATTACAGTGAAGCTCTATTAATTCTTGAAGTAAGAAGCTACTCTTGGCAACAGCCAAAGGAAACACTGTAAAAGACCTAATTAGTCAACTTGATTTTAATGGGTTCAAATTGTACATAGCGACTTGCATTTAAAGTTGCTGTGCAGTGCAATACTTGAGTTTCATGCATTTACATTGTATGATGACTGTCATTGTGAAGTTTATTATTCAAAAAGTGTTTTTTATATATTTACTGCAGCCAGAGAATATATTATTGGTTAAGCCATGCGACGACAACATTAAACTGATTGATTTTGGACTTGCGAGGAAGATTTTATCAGACAAAGACGTTTTTGTCAAGTTTGGTACACCGGAATTTGTAGCACCTGAAGTGGTCAATAAACAGCCTGTTACTACGGCAACTGACTTGTGGAGTTTAGGAATTATTGCCTACGTCATGTAAGTGGTTACTTTGTGTCAAAAAGTTAGTGTCAAGAAGTAAGCATTCAGTTCTTATACTTGCTATACTGACTTGATTTGTTATGGAGATTATGAACGCTATGTTATTTGTGAAAAGATATTTCATCATTCAAGGCAGTAAACAGTAATATGATGTGCCAGAATATGCATAAATTCATATATACTACTGTGTCTAAGTATTAAAAACAAAAGTTTGCAGAAGTCACCTCTAGAGGGATGTAAAATAGTGTATATGCTTAAGGATGTTTTACCTTATCCATATCATTTGAGATGAGAGGCAAGGTATATGAGGGAGAAAATGTCTGTCCTTGTTGTTGTGGTTACAATAAGTGAAACAGTTTATATCCAATTTCTTTCACATTTGAGAATTATTTTACATAGTTAGGAATATTTTTTAAAGCTCCGTGAGCTTACAGTTACACAAGTTTAGTAGAATGATATGTTGATATGAGTATAAATCAACAAATTGACAAGTGCAGTGTTTCCTGCCTTTTTCAAACCTGGTTAGAAATTTGTTTTGCTTTAATATATTATTACTATTATTCAGGAACTTTTCATGCATGCTATATTAGGAATTGTTATACAATTCAGTGAGATTAATACGTGTCATGGGATGGGCTTCATCCTCGGGAGGGGCTTACGATCGGGGAAGTATGGTACTTTAACGCAATTGGGCTTTCACTCTCAGAATACTGTGGTTCAAACGCATAAGGCTCTAACCCAAGTTTTAAAAAGCACATTGTGCATATAAAAGTTGAGTTTATACAATGTATGTACAATGGCGTATACGAATGCGATCAGATACTAAAACGTCATAGCTTTGAAAAGTACCCGGATGTTAAATATGTTCGTTCGTTAATTATTCCCCTCCATGAATGGCCTTCATGGCAAGCACTTCAAATGCCTGTCCAAGCTACAGTTATAATTAAAACAAAATTAAACCACTGCAATATTATTTCGAATACAGTTTAGAATATACACAACTATAAATTAAGGCCGCATTTAGGTTCGCTTTAATTTAGGAACACATTGGCTATTATTTTTCTTGCCAAATTTCGTTTAGATATATTGCTGAACTTTTTTAGAAACTTTCATACAATTCAACTTATATTATTCTTTGGGGCGAGTTAGTATGAGTGAGTTTAAATTTAAGACAGATTGGAAGATGGTCAGATGCATCCAAAGTAATAGTAAACATGTCGTCAACAATATGAAACAACTCTGAAGATAAAATGCCATAGTCAACAACACTGACGCCATTGTTAGCGTAACACGTGAAATCACCAGGAAAATGACCGTTCGCAATATGTAAATCTAATTTCTTACATAGATCCAACAGTTGTTTTCCATATGAATTTACACATTTGTCTTTTGAATTTATATGCCAAACAAAAACATCAGTTTGATAAGCAGGCTTTAGAAAAGAATCACTATCCTGTACAATAAAATCATTTCGCTCATGAGTTCAAGAAACGATGTAATTTTAAATCAGTTAGCGAGTTATGTTTATTTTGCCATGAAAAGCAGAACTTGAATGATTTTTGTTTTCTCTATTGTTACAATTGTTAAGTGAAACTGTATTTGCTCTTTGGGCCAATGGCCTTTTGCTTTGCAATAAATATACTGTACTAACATATATTATTCTAAAAGGAAAATTACAATAATACAGTATGTGTAGTATTATTTGAGGAACGTGAATATTAATTTATCTATTTAATGTAATTATGATGAATTTTTTAGCAGGTATTATCTGTGCAAAATGCTCAGATAATATATTATTGCATTTATTTTTATACTCACTTTTGCCAGGCAAAGAAAAGATATAACATCTTTACCGTAGTTTATATCCAGCCATACATTTGTTATTTAATTAAGGTTCTCATTGAACAAGGTTGTAATAGTTACACTATGTTCTGAATTTTTGTTTACTCAGGTTGAGTGGTATCTCTCCTTTCATGGGTGAGGACGATAAGGACACCTTGGTGAATGTGAAAAACGGTAAATGGTCATTTGAAGATGAGGTATTTAATAAAGTGACAGAAGAAGCTAAGGATTTCATATCAAGGTTGTTAGTGCTTGATCCAAGGTAATGCTACTTTCATATAATAGTATTGTACTTTTAAAGTGGCTTTACACTCCTTGAGGTCAGGGGTCAAACCACAAAGTTCTATTAACAATGTAATAATGGCACAGACCCATATTACTAATTGTATATTGATACTAACATTTTGTTTTCAGTTTGAATGTTCTTGTTATAGTCAAAATCATTCTTATATGAGATTGGAGGAGAATTGGAAAAAATATATGTATATGTAATTCTCAAGTAATCACTTTTTTTGAATTAATGAATTAAGCTATATTATTGCGGTTTTCCCATGGTGCATTGTGGTTTACTCTTGGTGCACTTTGCTTCTCCCAAGATGCATTGTTGTTCTCACATAGTGCATTATGGTTCTCCTATAGTGCATTGTGGTTGTCTCTTGGTTCATTGTGGTTCTCTCTGATGCACTGTGATTCTCCCATGGTGCATTATGTTTCTCCATTGGTACATCTTAATGGAATATCAATTAATGTTAATATATGTTGTTTATTTTATCAACAGTATTCGTATGACAACTGAAGAATGTTTGGATCATCCATGGTTAGAGGTTTGTTTTATCTTCATTCTCTCAACATTATGATAGCCCAAATCTATATGTGGTCGCTATCAAGTCTTGTCATTAATAATGTGACCAAAAATGATACAATTCTGTCAAGGAGTAATAAAGGTTTCTTTGTTCTCTATCAGCTTGCCGATAACCGTGGTGAAGGAGCCAAACTGAGTGTTGAGAGACTTAAGACATTCAATGCTAGAAGGAAGTGGCAGGTAAGATTAACCCCCCCCCCCCATCAACTCATGTAATACAGATTTCAAATTAGTGCCACTTAAATATAATGACAATGTTAACACCTTGCTAAGTACGTTGTGGATTCCTAGTCTAGTAAAGATCTGAAAATTCTCTTGGAAACTGTCATTAGAGTTTGGAAAATTGTGAATTTCTATGATGTCCAAAGTGTCAGTGACTTTCGCATAATTTTATCTCCATGAATGCCTTAACCTTTTTACCACCAAACTTTCCCGCCCAAATTTGCACTTTTTTCTTGTGTTCTTCAATATTTCTGGAAATGAACCCTAATTTTGGAGCCAACAGACAAATTTTAAGTCAGTTTTCAGTATTCACTCAAAAAATTTGGCTATTATAGTTTATTATTATTATTATTGTGAATTTGTAATGAAAAGAGGGAACTGGTGGTGAAAAGGTTAAAATCCTCAAATTGTGAAAATTCCTAGCAACAAAAAATATGTACAGGGTTTTGAAAATGTACTTAAAGTTGAGTACTGTGAACCACATGGGACACCATACAGTGTGGCTATTGCATAACCTCTCAACTATTTCTACTTCTAAACGTCATTACATCAACATTGTTCATCCTGTTTGCAATTAGTAATTAGTCCCCGTTCGGACGAAGTCCGAAAATGGGGACTTATAATTCGGTCTCCGTCCGTCCGTACGTCCGGAGTCATATCTCAGAATCCCTTGGACTGATTCCGTTCATTCTTTGCATGTGTCTAGTACTTTATGTGGGACATATTCACATGCAGTGGTTTAGCGATTCGATTCAAAATGGCCGACAGGCATCTTGCTTTTTGAAAATGTTGTATTTTGGACATGCTTTGTCAGTTTTCATTCAAACTTGGTACATAGATCATACATGCTGGGATACATGTCCATGACAATTTATTTCACAATTGGATCAAAGATGGCCGACTGGCAGCCATCTTGTTTTTTTAAAATGTCTTATTTTGGACATGCTTTGTGAGTTTTCATTCAAATTTAGTACATAGATCATACATGTCCCAGACCGTCCATGAGTTCCTGAGTCTGTCCGTCCGTGTGTCCATCTGTCTATGCGTCCATCTGTCTATGCGTCAGTCTGTCCAGAGTCATATTTCAGAATCCTGTGGACCAATTCCGTTTATTCTTCGCACGTGCCTAGTACCTTATGTGGGACATATGCACATGCAGTGGTTTAGCGATTCGATTCCAAATGGCCGACTGGCAGCCATTTTGTTTTTTAAAAATGTTGTATTTTGGACATGCTTTGTCAGTTGTCATTCAAACTTGGTACATAGATTATACATGTTAGGATACATGTCCATGACAATTTATTTCGTAATTGGATCAAAGATGGTCGACTGGCAGGCATCTTGTTTTTGTTTTTTTATGCGGTATCTTGGATGTGCTGTGTCAGTTTTCATTCAAATTTGGCACATACATGTACTTTATACATGTTAGGATGCATGTCCATAATAATTTGTTTCAAAATCTGGTCAAGGATGGCTGATTGACAGCCATCTGATTTTTTGGCCTTACTACTATATTTCCACAATTTATGTACCATTTTCATTTGTATTTGGCACAACATCATACATATCAGTGTGTTTCATAATCAGATCAAAGATGGCCGAATAACGGCTGTTTTTATTTTTGGCCATATTACTACTACATGGAACATGTGTTTTTATGTAAATAAACAATCTGTTGTATAGGCCACTTGGAACTCAAGTTTCAAGGACACACTCGCAACAACCCCTCCGCTTTAATATGACGAGCACAAAGAGAACTTTCAAAAATTTAATGGGGACTGTGTCATTTTCAATGACTTGTTATTTTTTTATTTTCCATATTAATTTTAATATGGTAAATAATGACATCATAATGAGGTTTATATGAAGGTACTCTTTTAATGTAGATGTTTATTTATTACAGAAAGCGTTAACTGCAGTGAAATCGGCAATGAGAATTCGTCGTTTATCTACATGCAGTACTGAATCTTTATCATCGTTAGGATCTGGACGTTCCTCGCATGAAAGCACACCAGCCTCGTCTGATACCGAAGCCAGAGTTGATCCCAGTAAAACCGAAAGCTCTGAAGATATCCAGGCAGAAGAGGGTGAAATATCTATCAAAATTCCAACTCTTCCTCTTGGAAGAAAGAAAGTTGCACCAGTAGAACGAGAGAAAGGACAGAAAGATATCGAAGGTATACATAGGTTAACAAAGCCTATGATTGCAACTCCTGGATTAATAACTGAACTAATATTAGATGACAATGATCATTACTCACAGCATGTTGTAGATGATGGGAACAGTACACCATTTATTAATCCAGTAGGTCCTGAAAAGGCTTTGCATGGAACAAGTACTGAACTAACACCCATAGAAACTGATATTTGTGATGAGACTCCAAAGGTTTTGCATCATACTGATAAAAATCTTACAAAAAGAAAAATTAAACTATCAGAATCATCCGATGCATCTGTTTTCACATCATTTGAAAGTTTGGACGGCAGTGATGCTGACCGTGAAACTGTTGTCCTGACAACTACATCCGAAAATTGTTCCACCACAACGGTTACAATCACAACCACAAGTACTTTAAGTTCAGTGACTTGTGAGAAAAGTGCTATGTCTGGGTCCACCACAACACAAGGTGAGGAAGTCACCACTTTGATCGGCTGTTACACAGAAAGTACAAGCAGTGTAGAAAATGATGCTCTACCTCCAGCAAAGGCAGAACAAGAATGCAAGAAAACTATGAACTTTACACCCGCAGAAGAAAACACATTGAGAAATGTATTCAAAAGAGTCAGGAAAAAAATCCACTCAGATGATACACCAAAAAGTGATAGTCCGGATAAAAATAAAGAAAATGAATCAAACAATTCTAGTGCAGTAAATAGCACTGACCTAGACCTCTCAGCATCCCATAATAATAACTCCATTCCTCAGTTGGTCAGAAAACCCGGTCTGAAGGATTCTAAAAAGCCTGATTTACCATCAGTGGCTGAAGACATACATATGGAGGAATTGGAAGCGCAAGATGCAAGTGCCACTTCGAAAGGATCTTACGAAATATTCCCCAAACCAAAACCCCAACGACCAGGTGTGTCATTTAGCTTTGGTGGCACACCAGAACCGAAAACTGATGAAAAACCTAAGATGCTATCATTGGCTGAGACAATGATGAAGCTACACATGAAAAAAAAAGCCCAGACGGGATTGTCATTATTTGCAAAAGTTGAGCGTACGTTAGAAGAGAAGGAACATGACTTAGAAAAATTCTTAAACAATACTACAAAGTACCCTCAACTTACCACACCAAAATGGCTCAAGATTAAATATGATCGAACATTTCGCATAGTTTTTGGAGCAATAGTAGGAGCATTAATCGCTATTCTTTTAGATATTTTTATTAACTTTTAAAACAAATGCTATGCATAGGTTTTATGTATATTATGACTGTCATAGGTTCCATTCTAAAAGATGTTTTAAATGAGACAATTCATAAGCTAATTTACAGACAAACGGGAAAAGGTAATGTGGCAACAATAATGTATACACAAGGCAGCTGACTGACAACAGGGTTGTCTAAAGATTGAATATAAAATATTTACAATCATCTAATTGATCAATAAATAGAAACTTATTGAGCAACATTCAAGAACAAAATTGGTATAAATATGCATTAATTCAACTCTTGTTATTAATACTTGTGCTGCAATCGAGTGTAAAAAAAAAGATTTTAAAAATTATTGGCAATATACTGGTCATATGTTCAGAGAAAACAGTTTGGCAAACATTTATATTACAAGCAATTGTATGTAAAATTAATTAACTAAAGACCATCAGAGATTTTGTGAAACTGAAATGTACAAATCAAGTGAGGCGAAGACAGTTTCAAAATATTTCTGATATTCTATGTGCAACAGACTTTATAAAAACTGATTGCAACATTTAAAAAAAAAGGTATTTGTGGGTGTATTGGTTACAAATTTGAGTGGGTAACACACCCATTGCCTGCAGCTAGACAAATGCCAGCAAACTAGACAAACAAAAAAGTAGTGACTTTTAAGTCTACTACATCCTTAAAACAATGTATCTAATAGAGTATCTTCTGATAATTTATTAATTAATTAAATTCAACATTAAGCAATTAACATAAAATCAATGGAGATAATAAATATTATAGATCACATTTTTGTTACCTTATATTGGTGCAGTAATATTTATTTCATAATTTCATTTTATATTTCCTAAGGCAACAGGTAATTGTTTTAATATACAATCACAAATCATATTTGCACAATCAAAATTACAATAATCAAAATAATAATAAAACTGTTTTTCATAATTGTAAATTGTAATTATTTTAATATAACAAGCACTCATTTCAAATATACAAGTGTCAATAGTATGCAAGATTTCCAAAGTACTCAGGAATCTGATTTTATAGTTACGTGGTTTCTTTTGTATTCTTGGTGCAGTATGATACTAATATGATATATACTTCACACTATGCAGCTTCAAGAATGTTTATATTACTGACCAAATATGGGCATTTGCACCCAAGCACAGAATACCAGACGCAAAGACACAAATGTCCATATTTGGGCATATTTTAATACTTAATTATATGCCTCACAGATAATTATACATGAAATTTATGCTTTAAACAATCACACATATCAACCCAGAATCGAACTTTTACTATTGCTACTATCTGGAAAAATATTTCAATTCATACAATCAATTCACACTTTATTGGACTGCAAAATACTTTTATATATTATTCTAAACCATGTATCAACATTTTGGTGGCAATGAAGGCCTGTAATAGAAGTAAATGAAATATATACTGTATATGTTTTTTGGACAGACTTTATTGTTTTACCACTGAACAATAGCACTGCCAGTAACTCAAACGCAAGCTTATGATGGTGTTAATGATGCATATACAAATTCTTGGCATGATGACTAATAATTTGGTTTACTTAATGATGATATAGTTGTATCACAGTATTTACATGTAGTGTATTCTCTATGCAATATATGTGTGTGTTGTCATACTTTTGATAATAAAACTAACAGTTTGTTCTGCATGTTGGTTGTATTCTGTGTTTGTAATAGTACATTATTAATATACTTCATTGCAACTATACTCATCCACTTGCCAATAGCTTGTATATATGGCAAAGAAAAAAAGATTGATGCAGAGGAAATAAATACATTTCTTAAATATTGTTTCATTGGCTAATTGAAACGGTTCTTAATTATTGTGTTCATAAAATGTTAGAAAAGCTCTATGCTGTATTAAAAGATTTGTTTATGAGTCAAGGAGTGATGACAGTTGTAGATTTATTGTTTACTTTTATTATTACTGTTTAGATTCATTTAAGCTACTTGCAAGATTGTTTCTGATTGGCTTCCGAACCCCAACAGTCAGACCAATGACTAAACTGTCAAAACATGTTAGAACTATTATACAATATGGAACAGCAACTAAGGGTGGTATATTCATCATTAGTCAATAACTGAGAATTTTGATGTTTTTGTTTTGTTGGAAAACAAAATTGCAACATTTTCTATTTGGAAATAGTATTGAATTGGGGATAATTCTCCATTTGCAGTGGCGTGTTCTTTCTTGGTACACCGCCCTCTATGGGTAACTTTATTTGTCTTTTCCAAGTTTAAGTGTCATGTATATATCTGACTCCCTGGCATGAAGTGACAATCTTAGGTGGGTTTAAGAATTAATGCCTTAGAGCTTGCCGAATATCTTTATATACATTTCTATATTTTGTCATTTCCCTCTGGGTAATATGACCGTCGCCAATGTTCACGAAACCCATACACTTTTCTCTAGAATTTGCACCAGTTTTCCGTGTACTTCTGAAAGACACACCTATGATAGAAGGCCAGCCAATGGAATTGTCATGTTGGGTTATTGGCAAACCTACCCCAACAGTGTCCTGGTTCAAGGATGATCACCAATTATTCCACAGTGAGCAAGTGAAGATGTGGACTGATGAACAAGGCAGATGTCATCTTAAGATTGAAAAATCTGACGAGGATGATGTTGGTATCTATAAATGTATGGCAGCTACTAGACTTGGCAATGTTCAATCAACAGCCAAAGTAGCCATTGCTGGTAAGTGTTGTGCCTCTTAGTATGGTGATGTTCACATTACAATTGACATTCTCGCCCGTCACATCACTGCTTCCGTCCTACTTTAAACGTATATGTTGATCAATACGGCGCGGACTTAGGACTGTATTTGAAATTTATGGTTTTCACATTCATGTGTAAACGTCATGACGATAATAAATGACCAATCGGCGCTGGTTTTAGAACTAGGACACGTCGTCTGCTTGTTTTTGTCTATGTACATAAATTTATTAAAAGTGTTTCCCTTATCTTGTGTTTTATCGCACCCATGCCAAACATTCACTGAAGTTTAAATAATTTATATCTCAAAAAATTAATCTGTATCTGTATGTGAAAATGTTCAAACCTCTTTAAAGTATAATTACTTGTATTTGTTCCCTCAAAACATGGGAAAGCTGAGATTGTGGATACTAATCAAGTGACAGAAAAAGCATAGTTCAGATCAGAGCTGGGCTAGAATGATTATGTTCTAAATAACTGCAGTAAATCGAAATAGATAAGCGCGTCATAATTTTTGAACTGAACAATTACTGCTCATAACTTACTGTAACCTCGGCTTGATTTGGCAATTAGATATCGATAACACATTAGGATTATCTAATTGTGTTTGTGTACATGTAAAGAGGTACGAGTGCATGAATTGCAAGTATTTTCTGTTATCATATCTCCTAGAAAACCGGTCTAAGTTATAATCAAGATATTGTATTCAAATTTTAAATGATGTGCCATTATTGTGGATCGCACCAATTTTATAACGATTCTTTGTGTTATCGTTAGTCGTCTACAAAGTAGCAAATCCGCACGTAACAAACTGTAACATGGAAGCACAGATGCAAGTAACAACAACAACTTTTCAAATGAAGGTTTTACATATATATTTCATAAACCTGAAAAAAATCTTTCGGGTGAACTGGAAGAACGGTTATGCACTCATTGTGATCAACGTGGCAGGACCACGCAATACAATCAACCAGTGGACATTCCTTCATTAATACTTCATTGACATTGGCAGATTTGACCAGAAAAAAAAAGTAACATAAAATGATAATAGATAATTGCACTCATTGAAAGAAGAACGTACATCTCGTTTAGTATGAGATATAGTTTGATGGCGTAATATGATTTTAATTTTAGATCTGCCAGATAAACCATCAAGACCTAGAGTGCCTTTGATATCCGCCACTGAAGCATTCGTGACTTGGAAAGCACCGCAGTATACAGGAAACTGCCCGCTGAAAGCTTACAAATTGCAGTACAGGAAAGCAGGTAAGTTGTTAATGTACACCTGGGATTAAAATTTCTGATAATCACTAGATAACAGCCTTAGTACCTTGGGACACTGTTGTCTAGCAATGTTGTTGTGGGAGAAGCTTCTGTAAAAGTAAAATAAATTGTTTATTTGGGGGTTTATCTTAAATGCTATATACGTAAGGAAAAGAATGGAATTTGACTAATCCATGGTGACTGTCAAATTGACTGTTAATTATTAATGGAAGTGTTAATTATTCAGTGCTGCAAAAGATTCTCCGTTCTACAATGAAAGTATAAAAGATTTACCTCCATGGTTCTACTAATAGAATACGTTTTGCATCAAAATTTCAAAATAGTCGCATTGCCCCTATGTCCATGAGCATGACTATGTACATTTCACATTGTTCATACCAAGAATTGGAAAATCATGGATGAAAATATCTTCACCAGATGGTAATCCACCAGCGTCTAAATGGGGTTTACTAAATGCTCATTATATAGGCTAGATTTTTAATGAATTGAAATGATATCTCTAATCTTAACTTATCAATTATAGATTTATTCTTTGATAGATTGTAATTAGAATAATCGTATTGTCCTAACTTATAATATATTACATATACCAGGTGAAAAGCAATGGGTATTGGTATCGGATGAAATCCAAGAAGCCTGTCTTCACGTGAAGAATCTTCTACCAGATACTTCCTACAGATTTCGTGTAGCTTGTCGAAATAAGATTGGATCAAGTCCGTATAGTAGATCATCTGCGCAGGTTAAATCGATGCCAGCAGGTATGTCAATGGTCATATCATGCGTTCAGAGGTGGTTAAATCTGTGCCATCAGGTATGACAACGGTCATATCATTAGTTCAGATGGGGGTAAATCTAGCCATACCAGCAGATATGTCAGATCATGTGGTAAGAGGTGGTTAAGATGTCGCATCAGGTTAAATCTATGCGAAAATGTATGCCAATAATCAGATCTTGGGGTCAGGTTGATTCTATGCGAGAATGTATGCCAATAATCAGATCTTCGGGTCAGGTTGAATCTATGCGAGAATGTATGCCAATAATCAGATCTTGGGGTCAGGTTGAATCTATGCGAGAATGTATGCCAATAATCAGATCTTGGGGTCAGGTTGAATCTATTCTGACATGCAATTATGTGATTGCATCTAAAGATTTATTTAGTCAGCAATATTAGACGTATTTAAAACAATCGCATTTCATTTAATCGTCTATCTACTTTGTCAGGCTCCCCGGAGTTACAGATCGAAAGATCAGACCGATTGCAGGTACTTCGTTCCGTAAGTTTCGCAGGGATGAAGCGACAGTCATCGATGGAACGGTCATTTGAATCATCTGAAGCTGATGAAGATATTGTTATACAATTAAAATCGTCTATTCCACAGAAGCATTATAACTTTGAAGATGAAATTGGAAGGTATGGGAACTTGATAATGCGGTAACTTTCGTGAAAATATGAAATTAGAAGTAAAAATCTCTTCTGTATTTGTATTGGCATTGTCACTTGTATTTGTTTAAAGCCTTTGTTTAGTGAAGTCTTCTTCAAATCAACACAATTCATGGTATTCAAAACATCTAGCGTTTCTAGTGGCCGCACATGAATTGCCCCTCAATTAACTAATTATTGATAATTTATCTTTGATTACCCATAATATGGTATGCAGTTAAAAGGTCTGCATTATATTTGTCTAAAATTCACATATTTGTTTCATAAAAATTTACAAAATTTGTTCATAATTATAACACTAGTATAACCTAGATCGAACACCAAACTTCATGATGTTCTTTATTGAACCTGTTTCCTGTCCCTTCTATGAAATGTGTGATTCATGGTTTGCTCTATTTCATTTCAGGGGTCGATTTGGTGTTGTGAGGAAATGTGTAGAGCACAACACCAACATAGAATATGCTGCCAAGTTATTGCGAGTAAAACCAAACAATGAAAGTCAGTTACTTGAAGAGTATGAACTCTTGAAAGACCTTCGATACCCACGTATTGGCATGTTACATGATGCCTACCTCACACCAAGGTTTCTTATTCTCATCATGGAAAGATACTACGGTGGACCTGTCACTCGGTACATATTTCATTATTTGTTATCTTTCGAATGTTAATGCATCGTTCTTGTAAATCATGCTCTCTAACGACAAGGCGGTTTTGTGACGTCACACAAGTTTTCGTCCATTGAGGGCTTGACTTATTATTAATCATAATGATTGTATGATTTCCTTATATCGTTGTCGGATTTACATTTAATTAATTCATGCATATTATTCTTTCCAGTTCAGCACGCTGGGGATTGTGGGATATTTTTAAAAATATAACTACAATATGTAATAAACACCGACTATTTTTTCAGAATACCAGACTAAATTTATTCATGCCATGGTTTATAGTCACGAAAGGGACACTAAGTATACATGTATGGTTGTATAATACCAGCTTCCAAAGTTCTGAATACAATTCTTTTTTCTCTAGGTATCTTGCTAGTAAAAGTTTTTACTCTGAAGATGAAGTTGTTGAATTTCTCCGTCAGCTATTAGATGCTGTTGGTTTCATCCATTCTCAGAGTATCGTTCATTTAGACATTAGACCTGATAATGTATTACTAGAAAGTAGACGACGAAACGACATCAGACTCATTGACTTCGGATCAGCAAGAAGACTGCCAGAAAAAGGCGGCGTGAAGGTTGATGCAGATCTTATACCCGAGTTTATGGGTAAGTTTATCATATGTTCCGTCTTAAAAAACTCCCTATATGCAAGTATGCCGGAAGTAACCCCCATTCACGTAACTCTTCGACGTAAAGATATTTTCGGAATCAATGTAAACACAACATGAGGAATTGAAAACACATATTTAAGCAAAACGATACGTTTACATGTAATACATCACAAATATTCAAGTCCAACAACTCACAAATATTCTACAAGAACAAAACAAGAAATGAACTTCATACATCCTGTTCCGCATGTGAAACTCGCCATATATAATTAATGAAGAGAGGGTATCTGTTAGGGGCCTGATATCTACATCAGACAGGTGACATTGATGCCACTCGAGCATTTTGAGGATATCGTTCTCCAGAAAACCTGTGGTGTAATAATAATATGTAGTGAATGCCTTTGCATCTTTTATAATCACACCTGTATTAGACAAACACTTCGTATAATTAGTTAAACACGTTTGTAAATAATTCTCTCTATTTTAATTTAAACAGCACCAGAAGCCGTGGAAGGCCAACTATTGAACACATCGGCTGATATATGGTCTATTGGTATATTGGCATTTATCATGTAAGTAGTATGCGTTAACCTGTCAATAACCCGCGCCAGTTATTGTCATGGTAACTTGTGCCCTCTCTGACAATTAACTTGATTACATTAACTATGTGACCCTATGGCCGTATTGTTTTCAACCCGATTCTTTATTTTCATTTATTCTCGTTAATGTCCTGTGTACGTCATTCGTCATCCCTGTGTTTATGTTATATAACATCTGATTTGAACACATTATCCTTTTTCCTAATATACTCAGATCTTTTATTGCTATATTGGTGAAATATATCAACACAAGTTTGTTGGAAATAATCAAATTCATTCTGATGCAATGAAAACCATGACAATATATCTAAAGTTAATATGATTGTTCTCTTCAGGTTGAGCGGTGTCTCGCCATTTTTGTTTAAAGATAAATCTGAGACAATGGCGCATATTTTGACAACACATTGTGATCTATCTTTGTTGTACCAACAAGTGAGTCAACATGCCAGAGATTTTATCAACAAAACGCTTCAAAGACATGCAAGGTAAGGACCAAATATAATTCATGAATTCATAGCCAATCGCAGCCATCACATAATGATAGTAATCGATATAATATTGATGAATTACATATCACCCTTCTCCTCTTTTAGTGTTTAACAATGTGAATATTGTCTACCAGATATGAACCACGAATAATGGACATGACTATCAAATGACACTCTTTATCAGTTTCAGCGTTATGATGTTTAACAGCAATTTATTCTATCAGGGATTATCCATTAAAAACTCGGGGATAGACTTTTTTTAAATAATTTCTTAAAACAGATACTTAAATTAACACATTTAGTAGAGAAAATGACGATCCAGCTCAAAATAAAGTAGTTTGCAATTTGTTTTTACCTTCTTGCGCTCAAACCTTTCTTTCGGTCATTTTTCTATAAGGTCAGCGGGCGAGTCAAGACGGTGTGTCAAAAACACGCATTAATGCATAACTATTCATTAAATCATTTCCAATGTAACATTTTAACATTTATTGAAAGTTATTTCTCTGTCACGTCATATCAATAATTCGTTTCTGTGACCAATTTGCATTTACTTCAAGATCGGTCTTTAAAATCAAATTTTCGGCGATTTTGGTTGAAACCACCGACTTCCATGTTTTATTAAACTGACAATCATAAATTTTAGCATTGTGAACATTTAATTTGTTCACGTTTTTTAGAAAAATTCACTATGAATTTACAAAACGATTTTGTTATTTCTGTTTTTCCCCACCTACAAAACCTACTCGTCGCCCTATCACAAATTACTTTTTTGGTGAGAAATGTTCAGCTTTTGCACATCGACAAGCAGGTGAAACATGTGTTCGAAAAAGACACGCAAAGTCCCGGGCAGCCAGAATATATGGCGTTTGGTTCTCGGGTTGCGCCCGAGTCCGTCACCGAGGGCGTAGATACTAAGCTGGAAAAAAACAAAGGGGCGAAGGGCACACGTGTATGTAATGTACCTCTTGTAATATCAATTACGAGACCCATAGACCTGCATTAGTGTATGCGCATCTTTTATAGATGACGAACTTTATGTTCGTATAACAGATATAAGCTGATAGTTTGCAATATCCTAATTAGAAGAAACATTTACAAAAGGAGTAAACGGGCGCGTATTAATATTTGTTTAACTGATGCTAAAAACGCTCAAATGGGTAAAGCGTGCGCTATGCGATAGTTATGTAGTCTTCATCTTGTGTGATGACCGCGATTGGTCTCGGATTATAATCGTATTGAAGGCATTTATTTTTGAAGTTGCGCTCATCAGCTTAGATCTATATATTTAATGAATAAAATCCCATTCGCCGTTTGTAAAAATTCAGGTTATTGCGTTGTTGAAACTTCAATCTCTGTGGTATGGTATCACCTCATCATTCCCTATTGTTTTCCTCGTTGTGCAGTATAGTTATATATAGTGATATTTCATAGTAATCATATGGAAGTAGTCATGTAATAATGAAAATTGAAGTGTGATTATCAGATAAAACACGATATGTCTGTTTGACTTTCAGTGACCGACTTAATGTTTTGGAAAGCTTACAACATCCATGGCTGGTAAATACTGTGGAAGCCAAAGACAGGCGACATAATGTGGTGCTTGATAGCAGACGATTGAAAGAGTACATGGATGATTACAAACATAGATGTCGTCTCATGGCAACAACGGAAACCATGACAATAAGGAAATACTGCTTAGTACAACAATCGTTCTCTTTCACCACAGACGACGACACGTCAGAGAGGAGCGAGCTGAAAACAGAGACTTCTTTATAAAACTTCAAATTAGTGTACTGCCATATTGTTTGTGACAATTTCTGTAAATACAGTGATGTATATGTGGACAATTTATTTAATGATAATTTATAACAGTGACTTATAAACTGACAACGCATTAGTGGATTTTTATCACTTCCGCTTTATGCAAATTATTTCTTTGAAAATTCTGATACGCAAACTGAAGATTTCACCACCACAGAACTGGGTTTTCATTGGCTCAGAATGTAATAACCTGAGTAAATTGCTCTGGTCGTTTTATCTTTGGTTATTATCGGATTTTACATATGATATGACTGGTCAATATAAATTTATAACGTGTAGCATGACGTATAAATACTACATTTGGAACAGTTCGTGTTTATTTTGCAATGCGATATACATTAATGCGGAAAACATTGAAAGTGGTATGGTCTTCGACTGACCATGACAAAACAAAAAATACAATAGTGGTTTGAAAATGTGTGTTCGAATTGTTCTTGTCAATGTGAACTAAACATCTGTGTTTTTTTCCTACGAGTGACATTTCCTCTTTAGTATATAGTTAATTAAAAACAAAATCAAGCTGCATCGCCGGATATCCGCGACAATTGAACGATATTGGTATATTCTGCCGCCGAGTATGCCATTACTTCAACTCAGTCTGGTACCCTCATCTAAAACTACCAGGTGCATCATTATAGAAGACGGAATGTGGTGTTTGGTTTTCCTTATCTTGGTTTTGTTTTTATTTATTTACCTTTACAATACAAATCGCATTCTCTGACTAAACTATGTGTGGGTTTATCGTCACGTGATATTTTGTCTGAGTACGTCATAGGATTCGCCATTCTATTTAATCTAATAGTACTTGTAGTACTCTGTTACCTAGTACGTACACGTTTGATTTGAGTCACCGCAAAATTCATTTAGTGCACTGTTGTACGCACGAGACGTTGACCTTGCCTTTCATGAATCAACTTCAAATGAGCCTCAACGTTGGTGACGTAATCGGCCAGAATATCTCAGAACCCTCAAATAGTTTACAATATACAGTACGACTGCCATTTGGTGGGTTTTCAATACTATGCCGCTTATACCATCCATGTATTGGAATCACTGTATGATACAGTGAATGTACGTGTATTTAGTTTTCTTGCCTGTAAATTACCTTCCTTGAATTATAATAAATAGTTAACCCTTATAAGTGTGTTACTTTGCTTTATTCCTGAAAAGCTAAATGGCACTGGGCCACAAAACAGATGGATTGCTTGTCAGCACGCATCAATTTGCGTAACAATTCGTTTCAGGGAATGAGTTTCTCAAATTTACACTATTTGCATAACAATTCAGTTCATACAATCTTGATCGCAAACATAGAAAAACAATTTTATAGATTCAGTTTTATCTTGACACTGCTTCTGATGAGATCAAACCCAACACGACGTCGTTTTTCAATTTAAAGTGTATACTCCAATTGTTGGTATGTTGTATACGCCACAGTTATCGCCCACGTCGACTTCGATATGGGAGCCAAACAACTTATGCATCGCGTGTATAACATTTATTGGTAATATACAGTTTCCACAAGTCACTTGGAATTCGATGTCATAGACTTACTTGTAAATTCAACACATAATTACACTTGAAATTTGATATTATGACCTCACTTGAAATTGTAATTTAATTATAATCCATTTAGAAATTCAAAAACCATAATCTTTATTGAAAAGTTTAGTAAGAATCTTATAAAAGGCACTGCAGTTGAAATATGGCTGCTGCAAATATTTGAATAATTCAATTGTACTAAAAACTAAATAGACAGTCTAGTCGGTGTGGAGGCGCAACCATTAGACGTCATGTTTGGTTCTAGCAACGCGCTGTCAACATTCAGAATCATATGAGTTGGAATTTTTTATTATAATCTTGTCTTTGGAGTGTTGCGAAACCATTCCTGGCAATCCATACATCATTCGAGAAATTGTACAACAAGTTGATAATCACAGATATCACAAATATATGTCAGAGTGTTATATTCACGAACACATTTCTTAACATTTGTGTTCGTGAGTTCGTCCGATGACGAGGCATTGATTTACGGAGGGGGACAAAATTGTTGACACGTTATGGTCATTATTCCAGAAAAAATACCGCCATACGCGACCCAAAATAGGCATGTATATCGGTAACAGGCATTACTACCATTATAACAATTTATTTTGTCAATTTAGTAATCTATTAAAATACCTATATAAAATTAAACTATCCCACATTTCCAATTTATACACGAGTTGTACTAACCACTAATCAAATTTGGTATAATTGAGTTACGCCATTCACTTGTGATTAAGACAAAGCCTTGCGCTTTAATGATACACCCATTGTGAAAGCATTGATACAGACCACGTTCAAAATAAGAGTAATTGTTACAAAATTCAACTTCATCGAAGTTAATCCACAATCTTCCTGGGTCACACATTAATTATTCGGCAATACGTCATTTATGTTAATGTCATATATAAGTATCTGACAAGTATGTCACCGTTCTGCAACGCGGCCATATAGTCTTCATGTGTTACTAGTCCTTCTTTAGGAACGTTGGGCAAAAAGGTATGTAGCGGGTCCATTTCCATTTTTTTATATATGACATACCAAATGGCAAGTCATATGTAGTCATGGATCCACGTAAACCAAGTTTCGTAATTGTTTCTGCATCAAGTTTACGATATGCCATCAAACCTCTTTCTTCTTGCGTACCTAGTGAATAGGAGATATGAAAAACTCAATATATAACCACACACGTCTAATTCAGGGCACGTCTGACTCCTTGTTTTCTTAAGTAATTTTATTCGTAATTTTAGACGCCAAACC